GAACCCGGGTTGACCATGTGCAGTAAATGTCCTACCTGCTGTGCTATTGCCCCACAACTATTTTGTAAAAATTAGTTTTTACAGTTCAAGCCTGCAAAAAGAGAAAGATACATCACTTTTGGAAAAAAATTATTAACTTAGTGATTTACAATTTTGTGGAATATTTTTCAGATTAGTAGTAATCACCTATATGTGTTTAGGTGTTGCCACCTCACATTTTTTTTAAAAAAAGAGATTTTTCTCGTATGTATAAGATATAAATAAATATATGTATAGGCTATAAATCATAAGAGAACATCAAATTCCCTCAGGCAAAGTCATCTGAGGTTTTGTCTATAGAACTAAGCTTTCCAGGTGGACCCTGGTGGAGGTGTGGTGTTGAACAATGGATGTATAAAAAGTATAACTGACTGGATTATAAACCTCATACTTCAGTTAAAATGGTAAATAAAGAAATGTTAAGAGAAAGTGACTTGAAATTGGTCTCACCAAGACACAAAGGCAAAAATCATCCTGAGAGGTTATTCCTATAAACGGTCACAATAATTTGAACCTGAAAAACAAATCTAAGTAATGCTTAAGGATCACTCCTGGTGGTGCTGGGGGGACCACCCAGAGTGCTGGGATCAAACCCAGGCCAGCCACAGGCAAGGCAGGAAAGTGCCCTGCCTGTGTCCTATCTCTTTGGCTCCATCGTCCCTATTCTGGAGGTACGTGGAGCCCCGCAAGCCCAGCTCTCTTTACAGACAGCCAGTGGTGAAGCTAATTTCTCTCACCACAGGTGCTCTTGCAGATATTTACTTTTCCATGCTTGACTCAAACTGCATGCTGCGTTTACAAATGGCTTTTCCGGTTTGTTTTAGTGTTGGAATTGTTCTCTCATTGTTTTAGTTCTGGTAACAGTAACTCTCAAGACACACTAGAACGTGTCTATGCTCTGTGTGATTTTTCTCTGTCTAAATAAGTGTTACTACAAGTGACTACTTACCACAAGTGACTATAGATAGTGTCATTCATACATAGATAGATAGATAGATAGATAGTCTATACATATCGTCGAGTGACATATATAGCCTAGTGACTATAGATAGTGACTCTATACCATATACCATGAGTGACTAGAGTCTTTGTCACATCAATAACTACTGATATCTTAAAACGTTGTCTTGATATGGAAATGCTGGATCAAATCAAACACATTCTTTGTGTACTTATGGGCACACGTCCTAAGGACTGAACCCAGGGCCACATGTATGCAAGGCAAGTGCTTTACTACTGAGCTACTCCAGTGGCCCTGTATATTTTTCCTTCGTGTGTGTGTGTGTGTCTGTGTGTGTGTGTGTGTGATGGGGGGGAGTGGGGGGGATGTGCACCTGGCTTAGTATGAAGGCCGGAGCATGAGACGCTGCTTTTAGACCTTGTGGTGCTAGGGTTACCCAGGTCACTCCAAGCCTGGCAGTGTTTGGAGGACCATGTGGTGCCAGGGATCAATCCAAGCTTGGCAGCATGCAAGGCCAGTGTCTGAACCCTTGTACTCTCTGTCCCACCCCAGGCCTGTAGTCTTCAGTATGACCAGAAACTCACTGGACAGTTTCAAGCAGGGGACAAACAAAGTGATTGGTATTTTTATCAAGATCAGGCTGGGTGTTAGCAGAATGCACTGAGAAGGCAGAGGTGGTGTTCAGGATTGCACCCAGATGGAGACAGGCAGACGAAGAGGAGGGTATGGGTTCCAGAGGTGTTTGCTTAGGAGAAACATGACTTACCAGTGGTTTGGATGTGGTAGCTTAGGAAAGAGAAGATACAGGGGACCTCCCAGGCTTTGTTCAGTTGAGGAGGCTCAGAGCTCAAGAATGATACCAATGTAAGCAAGGATAAAATCATGCTACATGGAAGGCCCCGGATAGTATTGGACTGCGTGCAGTTACAGGACAGAGCGACACAGAAAGCTCATATACAGGTAGAAAGAAATACCATGGAGGAAAAGTGAATTCAAAGATGGTAGAAACAAAGAACATGAGAACAGGTCTTCAGTAGGAAATAGGCCACATGTGTGGGAGTAGGACAGGGAGGGGACCATGACTATGAGAGAGGGGAGTGTTAAACCAGGAGAAGAAGGTGTCACCAGAAGTGGTAGAGGGGTAGATGTGAAACTCTGTGAGCAGCAGAACAGTAAACCACAGTGCAAAAAAAAATGTGCCCAAGAAGCACTGCTCTTAGAAATAGTCTGGTGAGAAGGAAGTCAGATGGGGTGCAGCTGGGGCTTTGATGGAAGGAAGTGGACACTTGTGAAGGTGTAGGTATTGAAACGCCCTGTTCCTGAAACCCAATCATGAGTAACTTGTTAATTTCACAGTTACTAAATTACAAAGGGAAAGGAAGAAAGTCAACACTGACGGTTTCTTTGACTCATTTAAGTAAAGATGGTAGAGCTGTAGGATTAGCCGTGATCCCTTAGGGAGAGTACAGAGCAAGAGTTTATGAGCAGAGATGTAGCTCAGTGTTAATACTGTCTGAGATCTGGGTTGGGTCCTCAGCATGTATTGGAATTAAGTCCCAAATCATCTTAGCGTTCCAAAATCTAGCATGCAGTTAGTCAGTAAGGTGGACTGAGAGGTCTTTAGTGTGGTCAGAATATAATTGAGGAGAGGAGTATGGCAGCCGGGATAATGCCCACCCCTAATAGTAACATCCTTGTGCCCAGGCACCACAGATAAGTTAGCTTATAAAAAGGGAAATTCAAGGGAGATTGAAGTTCCAGGTGACATTAAGGATGCCAGTCAGCTGACTTTAAAATAAGGAGTGAGAGAGAATTGGTGGCTGTGCTGAGCCTGGTAGGCCAGTCTCTGGGCCCAGATCACCGGAGCCTTCCCAGGATGGCGCTGATGGAAGGCCCAGCACTGACCAACCGAACCTGCTTCCCTTTGCACTCCAATAGCCCAGCTCTATGACCCGTAGCAGAGAAGCCACTGCCCTGATACCAGATCAGCTGCTTATCAGATCCTTAAGACTCAACTGCTGGAATATTCATAATACAGTGCATGGTCCCATAACATGATGGGCAACTAGTACTGACAGCCTGGTAGGGACACATCAGATGGGAACGTTGCCTAAACGCCCTCTAAGCTCGGTCAGTGAAAGCAATAGCACAAAAGACTCAGCTTCCACCTCAGCAGCTCAGCAGATCTGCACACAATAACTTCAGTGACCCATTCTGAGTTATAGGTTGTAATAAGTGCTAAAAAGTAAATTATTGTGTGCTGCCTAGGATCAGCCGGGTGGTGGGTGGGTAACTTGGGACATTGGTGGAGGGAAGGTCACAATGGTGGTGGGATTGGTTTTGGAATATTGAATATCTGAGATGACTGTATTAGGAAACAGTCCTAATTGTGATTCACAATTCTGTGAATCACAGAGCTTAAATAAAGTTTCAAATAGGGGGGAAGAAATAAAAGAGTATCCTGATCGTCTTCGTTGAGCGTAATAGACGAGAAGGCTCTTTGAAAGTGGAAGGGGATACCTCATGATGTCTCACTAATAAAATTTAAAAAAAAAGTGGAAGGGGAGGCAGAAGAGAATCGGGGAGAGAAGGGACAACAGATAAATGGCGAGAGATGCACAGCATGGAAAATGGACCAAGAGAACCTCCTCCCCTTCGCTCTTCGCTGCAGAGCCAAAGATGGGGAGCATGTGTGAGACAGACAACTGGGTTGACAAATTCGTTTGTAAGAACATGGCTTCATTACCACAGTTGCACCAGTATGTAAATGACATGAGATTTATTTCACCAGGTGTGTCCTGCCAAAGCAGGAACAACATAACGCCCAGCTAACTACGTACCTCTCAGTCTCACCAGCACTTCCTCAGTGCACAGACCCTAATCTCCAGCCAACTGAACTACATATTTGGCTCCCAACACATAAAACAGCCTTGGCAATTTCTTCTTTTAACCTTGCCCTTTCATATCTGCTGAACTTCTGTTCTTTCTGAAAGCATTTGACTATTGTGCTTGACTATTGCTTTCTGGAATGCCCCATCTCACATCTCATTTCCCCATCTGAGCTCATATTGTTTTAGGCTTGCAGTAGTCATTCTGAAATAGCATGTCTCATGTACATTTGTGGGAAGTCCCAGCAACTTTTTCTACTGCTAAACTCCGTTTTTAATCAGTTAAAGCAGAAACACATTTTTTCCTGTGGCTAAAACCCCTTCAGACTCATTTCCTTATAGAATTTCTTGAGTAGGAAGAAACAGAAAGTTAGCTTGAAGCCAGCACACTGGGCATAAATCAGAAGTTGGAATTTGAAAGATAATATTTCTGATCCCACATTGGGAAATTCTGTTGTAACTGTTTATAGAATATCACACACTAAACAACTGTTTTGTGTCTTTTTACTAACCACATGCCCAGAGCCACAAGGCTGCAGAATGTTAACTCTAAAAGACTTAGCCAGATATTCCTGGTCTTAGCTGTTCGGACTTATCTTAGCTCTCACTTATGTAGTATCATTTCATTTATACTATATATTTTCTATTTTTAATCTCTTGATACCCAGTATTTATATTATGGCATAGTATAGAAGATAAATATATTTATAATATAGCATTTATATTCAACATATATTTGCTGATCAAATGATTGAAGGGCTCCTTTGGAGAAATTCTCTACTTACAATTTTTAGTGTAATTATCAGTACTTTTTTTTTGTTTGGAGACCGCACCTGGATGTGTTCAGGAGCTGTTGCCAGAGGTTACTCTCCTGGAAGTGCTTGGAGGTCCATGAGGTGTCAGGGATCAAGCCCAGGGCTCAGGCATGCATTGCATTTGTTTCTATCTATCAGGCTATCTCCCTTCCCCCAGAGAAGATTATTTTTAAAACCCCAGTGTCCACTGTTTCTAACGAGAATATATCTAAAGCTTCAAGTGAGACTGGAAACAGGTTGAGGAAAGGAATCCGAATGATGGAGCAGCATACATTGATCACTAATCATGGTATTTACCCAGTTCATCTTGACAGAAGCTGTCAGGAGGGTTGATATACTTCATGGTGCTCACATCTAGCTTCCAGTTGTGCTTGGTGCATTTGACAGACCTGAAGGAAAAATTGTCCTCATGAAATAGTGAGGTGGCGGAGGGAAACTGAGGACATTGGTGGTGGAAAATGTACACTGGTGAAGGAACAAGTGTTGGAACATTGCATGACTGAAACCCAATCATGAATAACTTTGTAACTGTGTACCTCACACAATTCAATAAAAAATAATAATTTTTTTTAAAAAAAGTCATCCTGGGGTCAGAGTTGGCCACATGCATGACAAGTTCCTTCACCCCCTCCTCATTTTTAGTTTTGGGGTTACACCTGGCAATGCTCAAGGGTTACTTCCAGCTCTGCACTTAGGAATTACTCCTGGCCTTACTCAGGGGACCATAGGAGATGCCAGGGAGAAAGGAACCCAATTGGGCACACATAAGGCAAGCACGTTACCAGCTGTACTATCTCTCCAGCCTCCAGATCCTGGTTTGTAACTGAAGAGGGTACTTTAGTTGCTTCACAGCGAGCCCAGTGGAAACAATCAAATTTGGAAGTAGGAACAGGGAGTGGTGGGGTGATCTGGGAATCATTGTGAATTGCATCTGGGAGGATGAGTTCCCCATGGGCAGGAAAGGGAGGAGCATGTGTTTACCAGGTTAAACTGTCACTGGAACTGGTAAAACTAAGACCAGTCACCCCCAGGGTTCTGGATGGAGAGAAAGGACAGTTTATAGCAAAGCAGTCACTAGATGAAGAGGAGGAAGCCAGATACAGAAGTGACTGTCAGTAGCTTCTCTAACCAGAAAAACTCATGACAGGGGTAATAATAACAGTAGTAGAGATGAAGGTTTACATTTATTGATTGTTCTTCCTCTGCCAACATCTCTCTAGGTGCTTTAAATATCTAAAATCACTTAATCCTCTCAGCAAGCCATAAGTGTCACTTTCAAAAGGAAAACACTTTACAAAGGAGAGCACAGAGACCCAGAGAGGTTAAGAACTGTCTGTGAATTTACTTAACTTATTCTGGGGTCTCAGACTTCTAAATCAAGCACTCTCTAAGGAAAGATCCTGAGAAAATATCATGCTCTTGTATATTGGGTTACATCTGAGGGAAGAGGCTTGGGCTACACTCAGCAATGCTCAGGGATTATTCCTGGCTCTGTGCTGAGAAGTGTTCCAGCCCACGAAAGTCCCGGACCCTGCCATATCATCGCCACACAAGTAGTCCTGGGCACAGAGTGCTATAGCACTGCCATATCTGCCATACCCCAAAAAGTCAACACATGAACACATGCACACATTCCCTGCCAAATCGAAGAACTGAAAAAAAGGGTCCCAATAAGGAAGCAAAGAACTCTTGGTACCTTCCATCTAAATCCTCGATGTCTTTTATGAACAGGCCCCCTTGATGTTTGCACAGATTCTTGCATGCTTTCAGCTGGTCTTTATTCTTGTATAAAACATAATCTTTGCCAGTCTTCTTATTTCGAACAAAATTGATACCTTCTTTAAGTTTGGCAACTTCACCAGATGACAGATGCAATAGAATCTCCACGGATTGTTCAATTCTGTGAAAAGACAAACATTTTCAGGGGCAGGAGCAATAGTAAAATGGATAGGGAACTTGTGTTGCATGCTGGTTTCATCCCCAGTGCATTCCTAGGGTCCCCCAAACTCACTGGGAGTGATTCCTGAGCAGAGCCAGGAGTAACCCCTGAGCATCACCAGGTGTGGCCCCAAAATGAAAACAAACAAAAAGACACATATTATGAGAAGAGAAGAGCACTGATGCTAGGTTTTAGAAGAGACTCGTGAAGGGATCTGGAGGTTCATGAGTAGCTTGCCTTGTGCGGTGACTGACTCAGGTTCCATCTCCTGACACCCTATAGGGTCCCTCGAGCTCCGCCGCAGGCAGGAGTAATTCCTGAGCCTAGAGCCAGGAGTAAGTCCATACCCAGTAATTCCAAGCTGGGTATACCCTACACACATACACACACACACACACACACACACACACACACACACACACGCACACATACACACACACACACACACACACACATACACACACACACACACACACACCAAAAACATAAGTTACAAAAAATAAATAAGAGATCCGTGAAACTGACAGCTCAATCCCTATATTCATTTCTTTTTCTTTTTTTCTTTTCTTTTCTCTCTTTTTTTTTTTTATAAAGCCCTCCTAGTGCCCGTTCTCTCCCTTCCTTCAGCGGCTCCTCATTCCTGGAATGTTCGTTTCTGCTTTGCAGAGAGCTCATGCTCACAGCTTGCATTGTCCCTCCCTGGGCTGTTCCCCTGGATCCTGTTATTGACGCTTATGAACCCTTAGCCTGGAGCCAAATCACAGCTGCTTCCTTCACTTCCTACCAAACCTCTTTTTTTTCTCTCCCCCCCAAAAAATATTATTTTATTAAATCACTCTGAATTACAGAGTTATTCACAGTTGGGTTTTTAACCTCCAGAGACCTCTAGTTCAGTCTCATGACCCTCTCTTCTCTCCCCACCTTAATGCTTCCGCATCTGAACACAGTGCTTTTGCTCAGAAACCAGCTCGGTCACCCATTCCTGCTGTCTCCCTTCCCCCAGGTCAAGTCAGGCACCTCTACTGCTCATTGTGTATATTATGACTTGCCAGCAGCTCGCTGCCCTGCCCATACTTACAAGTATGCGGTGTGGAAAACCCTCTGCATCTCTGCTTTGCTCTCTTACCGCAGTGTAAACAGAGGACTGCCCATCACCCTTGTTCTACTCCTCCCTTAAAGAAGCCAACCCACTCACTGAACCCGTGAACACCCAGCAGCAAATGACAGCTTGGGTTTTTGAGCTATCATTTGCTTTCTTTTTCAAATGCACACACACACACACACATGCATACACATACATACATACACACACACCAGCCTGCCTCTATGACAGGAGCTTCTCTCTCTGTCTCTGTCTGTCTGTCTTTGAGCTATCTTTCAAGGAAGTTACACGTTTCTCAACAGACTCAGGATACAGTTTTGAATCGTAAGGGAATGAACTTCGCCAAGAGCAGTCTAAAAGTATCTTCTTACACATCTGAGGTGTATATTGCATAATTTTCTTGTTCATCCTAAAGCAGAAGGTAGAAAAAATCTCTTTATTGTAAATTAAAATTAATTTGGGGGCTCATGTACGTTGGTGGCATTTTCACTTTCATTTCTGTAACGGCAAGTATCTAAAACAAAGAATAAAAATAACCAGAAAAAAAATATTCCAGGAAAGAGGATAAGGAAACTGCTCCCAGTTTTAAACTAATCAAACGCAACTCAGTCATTTGAGTCAGCTCCTCTAAGCAAATTCTCATTATTATATCTGTTCACATTCTCAGTATTTCTGCTCACATCTTTTATTTTGTTGATCACAATCACGATCATCCTGTTGTTCGTCGATTACCTCGAGCAGGCACCAGTAACGTCTCCTTCATCCTAGCCCTGAGATTTTAAAGTGCGATATTCAAGGCTCTTTCAGGGTTCAGATAATGAGACCCATCATTGTTACTCATATTTGGCATATTGGGTACACCACGAGGAGTTTGCCAGACTCTGCCATGTGGGTAGGTTACATTCGGTAGCCTGCCAGGTTGTCCAAAGTAAGAATGAAATAATAAGATGCCATGCGGCCACAAATGCAGCTGTGCGCTTCTGGGAGCTGGGTTTTGTAGTCTCTGGGTCTTGGCCATTGATGAGATTACACGGTGCCAGGGGGTCAGTTGGTGGGTGTGACTCTTGCCTACTGGAAGATGGAGGATCTGGGTAGAGGATGCTCAGCCCTGATTTTTTTGTTAGACTTGAAATATTTTTCCTCTGTTGTATAGAATTTTATTGCTATTCTGTATCTTAGGAGTTAGTTATTTTAAGTAATTTGAAATTAAATGTTAACTTAAAGTTTAGTTTCTGCCAAATTTAAACATGTTTAAATACATTTAAGCAATATAGTTAGTTGTAGAACAGCCATATACAATAAAGTTTACAAAACAAAAGAAGCAAGGAGAGCTTGCTCTAAAAATCCCATATTCATGGGGGGCTGGAGCGATAGCACAGCAGGTAGGGTATTTGCCTTGCATGAGGCTGACACAGGTTCGATTCCCAGCATCCCATATAGTTCCCTGAGCACTGCCAGGAGTAATCCCTGAGTGCAGAGCCAGGAGTGACCCCTGTGCATTGTCGGGTGTGACCCAAAGAGAGCTTGGTTATCGTGTGGATATGGTTGATTGTAAAAAACTACGCATGCAGAAGGTTGTGTGTTCGCGGGCTCTCTGGACGGCTCTATCTCACCGCCCGCATTCGGTGCCCTAGAGCCACTGTGTGTGGCCTGCATCGGGACGGCTGTTGGCCAAGGGCAAATGAAGGAAGAGACGAGGGCCAGGCTGGTTGATCTTAGTGGCAGTTTATTACAAGGAAGTTTATCCCATAGAAGAACCTTATGTTATGGAGGGCCTAGGTTCTCTCAAGCACACGTTCCCCTAGCTAGTCTCCCCGTGGTCCATCTTTCAGCCCTGCTCTCTCCTTCTCCAGCTCCCCTCTAGTTTGGGCTGATATTCCACCCAGTCAGGTAGCCAAATCAACATAAGAAAGCCCTTCCTGACTGCTCAAGGGCAAGATACCTCTTAAGGCGTTTTTCTCTTTTCCTCAGTCCAATAAACTATCAACTATTCCTGAGGTTATGCAGGAAGGACAGAACAGTGTTATCCTACAGTTCATGGTGCTGAATCCTTTTCAGAACCCGACTTGCTAACATGGTTGTCCTTCATCTAGTGTTCTGCCAATCCTATTCAGGATGACTATTCAATCCTATTCATGATAACCAAGCTCATTGAGGTTTCTCGGGAGTTCAAGATGCCGCTCTGTCTAACGTTCATTGATTTAAAGAAGGCCTTTGATTCTGTTGAGACGGAAGCGGTCATTGAAGCCCTAACCAATTAGGGCATTCAAACTCAATACATCAGGATCCTCTATGAGCTGTATTATGGATTCACTACCAGGATCTCACCATTCTACAAAAAAGTGGTCATCAATGTCAAGAGAGGGGTTTGGCAGGGTGACACCATTTCACCAAAACTCTTCAGTGCCACCCTCGAGAACATCATGCGATGACTGGAATGGGAAGGAATGGGAGTGAAGATGGACGGTCGACAACTACACCACCTCTGCTTTGCTGATGACATCATTCTAATAACACCAAACATTAGCCAAGCAGCACAAATGCTGGTCGACTTCGACCATGAGTGTGGAAAGGTCAGACTACAGCTGAATCTCACGAAGACAGTGTTTATGAGAAACAGTCTTGTTCCTGATGCTCCATTCGCTCTCAACGGAACGACCATCTCCGAATGCAACAGTTATGTGTACCTAGGTCGAGAAGTCAACATGACAAATGACCTGGCACCTGAGATGTGCAGGAAGAAGAGAGCGGCTTGAAACGCCTTCAAGAGCATTGAAGAAATAGCTAAGAGGATGAAGAATCTCTGGCTCCCCAGGCACATCTCTTCGATTCCACTATTCTTCCTGCATTAACATACGCCTCAGAGACCTCGGCCCTATGAAAACAGGATGAGAACGCTATTTGGGTTTCCCAAAGAGGAATTGAAAGAGCTATGCTTGGAGTATCACGTTTCAGTCAAATGAGAGAAAGAATCCAGAGTTCCAGCCTCAATCGACAGTCAAGAATCAGGGATACTGTCTCGTTTGCCAAGGCGTCGAAAATCAGATGGTCTGGACACGTAATGAGATATGGAGACGACCTCTGAACTAGAGCTGTTACCGACTGGATTCCACGGGATGTCAAAAGACCGCGTGGCCGCCCATCTCCCAGATGGTTAGACTTCTTCATCAAGACCCTGAATTCAAGACCCTGAACGATCGGTTTGAGACTCTTTGTGTTCCTAGAATGAACAGACACCATTGGGCTACACTAGCACGCAACAGGGAAAAATGGAGACAGTTACTGGCGCCCTCTTGAGCAAATTGATGATTAACGGAAGTCAAGTGATCAAGTGACCCAAAAAGAAAAAAAATCCCATATTCATGAGGAAATGGAGATATATCCCCTGCTCATGGATTGGGAGGATTAACATCACCAAAATGACAATACTCCCCAAAGCATTATACAGATTTAATGTGGTCTCTATAAGGATAGCCATGACATTTTCCAAAGAAATAGATCAAATACTTCTGAAGTCCATATGGAACAGTAAACCCCCACAAATAGCTAAAGCAATCCTTGAGGGGAAAAGATGGGAGGTATCACCTTCTCCAGCTAATACCCAAAGACTGCAGAAACTCGGGCCAGGAGAATTGGTCTGTGGTTGGAAGCCTGCCACAAGTCGTGGGGTGGAGGGCAAGCAGTTAGGACAGAGAAGAGACCATGGTGGCAACGATAATTGTAAATGATCACTCTGGGAAAGAACTGAGTTCTGAAAAGGGATATACATGAAAACTTCAGTATCTATTGAAAACCATAGTGCCCAAAAGGAGAGAGAGAGAGAGAGAGAGAGAGAGAGAGAGAGAACGAGAGAACAAGAGAATGAGAGAAAGAGAAAAGAAGCCACTCTCATAGACTCATAGAAGTGATGGATGGAGGAAAACGGGGGACATTGGTGGTGGAAAATGTACACTGGTGAAGGAACAGGTGTTGGAACATTGTATGACTGGAACCCAATCATGAAAAACTTTCTAACTATATCTCACAGTGATTCAATTTTTTAAAAAATCCATATTTCTTATATGGTAATAATATAAGAGCAACAATTTAATTCCTCCTCACTTACTGAATCATGAGAGGGTCTTTATATCTTTTTTTCACTTTTTATTAAAGCACTATGGTTTATAAAGTTATGCATAGCTGAGTTTTAGATAGACAATATACAGCACCGATCTCACCATCCCACCACCAGCATCAGTTTCCCTCCATTCAAGTTCCCAGGTCCCTCCCAGATCTCCATCTACGTCCCCCACCCCCGCCCCCACCCCACCCCCTCCTGCCCTCTTGACAGGCACCTATCTAAGTTTGGGTCTGTTGATTTTAGTGCTGCTGACTCTGAGGTTTGGGTATTTGGTTCTGTCATTCCTTAACACCACCTTTGGACCTGGCCCCTGTTGCTTCTCATCTGTCCCCTCTCCCTCTTCCCTCCCCTCTTTCTTTCCTTCTCCCTATACTCTGGGGCCAAGGTTGATCAGGGAATCCCTGCTTTAAACCTTTTCATTTCCTCACCCAGGTATTCTAAATGCCATATTTCTAAATATGAGTGAAATCATCCTTTTTCTGGCTTATTTCATCCAGTATGATGTCTTCCAGTTTCATCCATGTTGCCACTAATTGTATGATTTCATCACTTCTAACAGCCATGTAGTATTCGATTATATATATATATATATCGCATCTTCATGATATATATATCACATCTTCAATATCACATCTTCATGATATATATATATATATATATCACATCTTCATGATGTGCCATTTGATGTCTAGGTTGATTCCAACTCATAACTATTGTACTATGTGCTACAATGAATAATGGTATGCATACGTTCTTTTGAATGAATGTTTTTCTGTCCTGGGGATAGATACTCAAAAGTGGAAATGTTGGGTCATATGGGAGCTCAATTATGAGTTTACTGAGTATCATTCATACTGATTTCCTAAGGGGTTGGACCACACAACATTCCCATCAGCAGTGTATAATGATTCCTTTTTTACCACATCCCTGCCAACAGATATTGTTACCAGTATTTTTGAT